AGCCAGGATGCCAACCCAGGAAAGGCTCCAAGCAATCAAACTCACCTCTCCAACTCTGCCCAGAGCCTGGCATCAAAAACTCTTCTAACCCTTTCCTCTCCTTCTCAGTACAACTAYGATAAGAGCATCGTGGACAGTGGCACCACCAACCTTCGTCTGCCAAAGAAAGTATTTGAAGCTGCAGTCAAATCCATCAAAGCTGCCTCCTCGGTCAGTGGACTAAGAACAGGGTATAAGAGATGTCACAGTTTCAGAGGAAGTCAGTGAAAGTTGCATTTCTCAGCAAGAGTCAAGATGTCTCATTTAGATCTTTCCACTTAGAGCTCTTAACAACTGCTCTCCTTTATGGGTCTGTTGCTCTTGATACAATCCTCCAGTACAAATCGATTACCTTTGTTGCAGTTCACCTTTCCCTACCTTGGATATTTCCCTAGAGAAGTAAATAAAGGGCCCAGTCAATGTCCTATGAAAATGGGACAGGAAAGAGAGTGGGAGAGGAAGGACAGCGGGAGAGGCCGATTCCTCACTGTTATTCCTTTCTTGTTAACACAGACAGAGAAGTTTCCAGATGGGTTTTGGCTAGGGGAGCAACTGGTATGCTGGCAAGCAGGCACCACCCCTTGGAACATTTTCCCCGTCATCTCACTCTACCTGATGGGTGAAGTCACCAATCAGTCCTTCCGCATCACCATCCTTCCACAGGTATGTCCCCAATCTGAGGTGGTGGATCAGAGGAAGAGGACAAAGTACATATTGGGAGATGGAAAGCAGGTATGGTTTTATACTTGGAAGACAAAACCAATGAGTGTCCAGTGACAAAAGGTTCTTGGAAAAACCCATCCCCTTAGCACTCAGGGATGGCAGAGGAAAGAGCTAAGTGCAGCGATACCTAGAGGGCAATGATGGGGGAAAGGAGAGAGCAAAGAAGACACCCTCTAACCTTTGATTGCTTGCTTACCCTAGCAATACCTGCGGCCRGTGGAAGACGTGGCCACGTCCCAGGACGACTGTTACAAGTTTGCCATCTCACAGTCATCCACCGGCACTGTTATGGGAGCAGTAATCATGGAGGGCTTCTACGTTGTATTTGATCGGGCCCGGAAACGAATTGGCTTTGCTGTCAGCGCTTGCCATGGTGAGAGTACCAGGAACAAGGGTGTGGGGTCACTGTCCATATTCTGTCAGCAGTTAGGACACCTATTACTTTGGGAGGGAGTTAACAGATACCTCAAGCTAAATCAACATGTTGTGTGAAAACTAGTGTCAGTGTTTATGGAGGATTTCTTTTTGTTGTTGCTTTCTGGATTGTCTCCCCTGGTGACTCCCTGCCTAGACTGGTAAGCTGTTGGAAAGCCAGAGCAGCAAGAGCTGCCTCAACACCTTGGGAAGCTTTAAATGCCAGGCAGCAGGCTGTCAGCTGCCCCACAGTGAGGCTGAATGCCACTTCAGAACGGTGGCAGGGTTTTGTAGTGAGATTTCATACAGTAGGCAAGTGTGCTAGGGGTGTAAGAGGCTAGCTTTTTGGTCAACCCAGAACTACTACTTTTGGGGTATCATTCCTAGTGGATAGGTAAGCAGGGCCCTGGGAGACAGGCCTGACTTTCCCACCTACTCCTAAATAACTCCAAGAGGGAGAACTAATTTCAAGGCTGGTTTCAAGGTGTCACTATCAGCAGGTCTTTTGTAGTTGCTCTGTGACAACAGGAGCTACCCATTCACATCTGTCCTTTCTCCAGTGCACGATGAGTTCAGGACGGCAGCGGTGGAAGGACCTTTTGTCACACCAGACATGGAAGACTGTGGTTACAACATTCCACAGACAGATGAATCAACCCTCATGACCATAGCCTATGTCATGGCTGCCATCTGCGCCCTCTTCATGCTGCCACTCTGCCTCATGGTGTGTCAGTGGCGCTGCCTCCGCTGCCTGCGCCATCAGCATGATGACTTTGCTGATGACATCTCCCTGCTAAAGTGAGGAGGCCCATGGGTGAAGACAGATTCCCCTGGACCACATTTTGGTCACAAGTCGGRAGACTCAGATGGCACCTTTGGCCAGAGCACCTCAGGACCCTCACCCACCCACCAAATGTCTCTGCCTTGGCAGAAAAAGAAGGAAAAGCCGTCAAGGTGGGTTACAGGGCTTGCACTGGTAGAAAACGAGAGGGAAGAAAGAAGCACTCTGGTGGCAGGAATACCCTTGGTCACCTAAAACTCGAGATGGGAAATTCTGCTGCTTGAAACTTCAGCCCTGAACCTTTGTCCACCATCCCTTTAGATTATCCAACCCAAAGTATTCTTTCCTTACTTCCAGAAGTCCCGGCATTATACCCAGGTTACCCCAGCATGTGTCTCTGTGGTACCCTGGCAGAGAAAGGGCCAATCTCATTCCCTGCTAGCCAAAGTCAGCAGGAGAAGATGCACAGTTTGCTATTGCTTTAGAGATAGGGACTGTAGAAACAAGCCTAACACTGGTACAAAGACTGCCTCTTGAATTAAACAAAAAACAATTAGATGGAATATTTGTACAAATGAGGAGTGGTCAGAAAGAGGAGAAGGGGGTGGGTACAGCAGTTGGGATCACAGCTAGGAAAGGCAGAGATACAACCACTCGCCAGTCCCAGTTTTAGACCTCATCTCCAAGACAGAAGCCCATCTCCTGAGACAGATGTCATTTCTCAATGTTTCTGTGGTCACAGCCTGACCAAAAAGTGAGATGGGAAGAAGGGCTTATCTAGCCAAAGAGCTCTTTTTAAAGCTCTCTTGATTAAAAAGTGCCCATGAAGAAGTTCCACTTAACAAAATAATTTCTACCTTAATTCCACTTGTCTCTTCCTGACCCCTTTCCTCTATGTATGATAGGTGGTAGTGAAACACCCCAAACCCCAAAGCCCCAGGTGTCCCAGGGGAGAGGAATTGGAGTTTAACAAGGCTGGGCATTATCTTCCTGGTCACAGGTTCACTCCCTCCCCAAGGCCCCTATTGCTCTGGAGCTTTGCAGCAGAGGTGCTAAAAGGAACAGAGAGAAGGCCTCTCCTATCTAATCCTTGAAAGCAGAATCCTGAAGATTCATTCAACAGGTATAGGAGTGATGCCTTATACCTCTGCCCAGATTTCTTCCTGTTTAGCTGTAAGAAGTGGTAAGATCATTAGATTAATACTGAGTGGTTTTATTGTTTTCTTTGCTTCTCTAATGGCCCCTCCACTTATTTGGCTAAGGCTTCACACACTGGCTAGTATTATACTATGACTGTCAGCAATCGAGGGCTTTCTGGCTCTTAGCCACTGCCTTTGGTGTCAAGGCTGCTTGGAGAAAGGATGGCAGCCTCAGGCTTCCTTATTTTCTTCACCACTTTTCCTTTGTTGGAGGCTGTCCTTTCTCCTATCCTGCTTTCTGCTCCCCACTCCCATGGGTACCCAGGCTGGTTCTTGGGTTAGGCAGTGGGGACCAAGTTCATTTTCTCCCTATCAGTTCTAACACAGTAGACTAYGATACCAGTGTTAGTGGGAAGAGCTGAGTTTTCCCAGTATACCCACTGCATCCTATCCGGTCTACACACTGCTGCCAGGCAGGGTACCTAGCAAGTAGAGAATTATTTGATGAGGGAGAGGGAAATATAAGGAGGGCCTCTGGAGTTGCTGGCCTCTGCCAGTTGCCCACAAGCCATAAACCAATAAAACAAGAATACTGAGTCACAGTTTTTTTATCTGGGTTCTCTTCACTCCCACTGCACTTGGTGCTGCTTTGGCTGACTGGGAACGTTCCACACCTATAACGACTTGACAGGAAGACTGGAGACTGTCCACTTCCAGCTCAGAACTTACTGTGTAAATAAACTTCTAGAACTGCTACCATGAAATGAAAATGTTACATTCTGCTTTATAATTTCCACCCATGTTGGGGAAACTGGCTTTTCCCCAGCTCTTTCCAGGGCATACAACTTAACCTATTCATTAGTAAGTCCCACCGTCCTATTATTTTTTTTAAGAGAAAACTTGCACTTATTTTTCTTTTTACAGTTACTTCCTTTGAACTATACTGAAACTATGAACTCTAAGTGTGAAAAAAAAATCTCGACAACAGTTTCTTGCTTGTAAAAATATGTATTATACAGCTCTATTTTTAAATTCTACTTCTGAAAAATGACTGTCCCATCTCCATTCACTGCATTGGGGGCCTTTGCCTTTGGTCTGCACGGTTTTTACCACTACAAGCCAGTGGGCAGAGGGAGAAGGGAGAACAGGGGTGGCCAAAACAAAGAAGACAAAAAAAGCAATGATGAGGCCCTAGCCACCATGTACAAATCTCTCTGAAACCCCCACCCTCTGCTGGAGTTGGCTTCCCAGGGGCTTTCACTGGGAAAGCAGCTAAGCCCCTGATCCATTCCTCCTTTCTTCTCTATTCCTTTGGCTTCAAAAGATTTTTTGGAAAAGAAAGAATATCCCTTACACCCATCTCTAATTTCTAAATTTTCTGGGGACACCAGAAGATTTTACAGGTAGCCCAAGGCTGCTAAAAAGTTGAGGGGAAAGAAAATCTTAAGATTATAAGATAAAAACTTAATCCTCCCAAATGAAAAGAACAAAAAGGAACTGGTCTTCCATTTTGCCACCTTTCCTGTAATGTCAGTACCAAACTGGAGGCAGTGATATTTATTAACCAAAGAAAGTAGGTCATCTGACCTCTGAAGAGTTGAGTACTCAGGCCATTCAAATCACCCTACAAGATCCCAGCAAGTTCAGCTTCTTACACTGATGCTGGTCTACAAACCTGGGCAAGTAAGGCAAGAGAAAAGAGGAAGAATTCATCCATGAGCTAATAGGTGAGAATGAAAGACAAAAAAGGAAAATGGTATCAAGACGAGAGCATTTAGTTGGATCCTAAAGGAAATGTCTTTGCCTCCCTGACACATATTGCTAGACCAGTGTAAGCATTTCCAGGTTCCACAACAGGAAAAATCAGTTGCCAGTAATATAATGATGTCTTTCCTTTGGAGACCTTTTTTTTTTTTTTGGATTAACACTCAGTTTTTACTTGCTTAACTCCAAAAGAGAAGGGAGCAAAAGCCATTTCCTGAAGGAATAAAGATAACAGGTTAGGAAAAGATTCAAAGCTCTAAGAGAGTCACAGCCTTCCCAGGTATAAAACCTAAAAGCCAGAAGTGCTCAGTAAGCAGAGGTGGAAAAATGATCTTGTTCCAGATAGATATTCACAGAACAAATGATTTATAAATGTGAAATCCCACCTCCCTTCTTCATATCACTTTGGTCTCCATTTTTCCCAGGACAGGAAACACATCCCCCATACCTTTCTTGCTTTGGAAATTAAAACCCAGCATCCCAAGATCATTCTGCAAGTAATTTTGCACAGACACCTCCTCACCCCAGTGCCTGTCTGGAGCTCACCCAAGGTCACCAAACAACTTGGTTGTGAACCAACTGCCTTAACCTTCGGGGGGGGGAGGGGGGTTAGCTAGACTAGGAGACCAGAGTGAAATGGAAGGGGTGAGGACTTTACAAGGTGGCCTGTCAGAACTAGACTAGAAGCCAAGCCAATGGTAGCCAGGGATGGCTTACCCCATGAAAAACCTGTGGGTTGTGCTAATTTCTATCCAGAAAGTAGGTTGGACAGAAGCTGGCAGGGGAAATGGGACTTGGTTATGTGGTTGTTATTCTTGGACTGTGAATTTTGCTGATGTAAAACAGAATATTCTGTAAACCTAATGTCTATGTATAAATAATGAGCATTAACACAGTAAAATATTCAATGAAGAGTCGAACTATTAGGGTTACATTTTTTTACCTCAATCAGAGAGTCTCATTTCACTCATTTGAAGTGGAGGGACTAGAACAACACTGAGGCTTGCAAAGGCTCTCAGTAAGCAAGGCATCTGGTTGGACAGCAGGTGAGCACCAGGCTTCAAATCTGCATACATGAGCCTTAAGGAAATGAATTACAGGCTGAGCCAAACCAAAGCAGGATGGCCTCAGAGCAACAGCAGCTTCCTAGATGTATTTGATAACAGCCCCAGGCAAGGATATCACATTTCAAGGCCAAATTAAACATCATCTTCCCTATAATCTGTAACCCCCAAAAGAATTGCAAGATGAGGGGGATTGAACTGTTTCTGCATAATATACATACTTTCATTTACGAACATTTGAATACAGACTTTCTATACACACATTACCTATATAATAAAAATGTACATGGCATGAGTATATGTCACTGTATAAATATAGAGTTTTAGAAATCTTGAACCCGCGCTTCCTGTTCACATCAGTTTTCCTCTTCTTCCTCCCCAGTCAGGTCCATCATTTAAGAGTTGGACAAAAGGGACAAGTGTCATTTGTGTTGGTCTGGGCCCAGAATTTGATACACTGGAAAGAAAGAGAGACACATCTCAGATTTATCTGAGAAGGGAATAAAGAGTGCCATTAAAGTTCAAYAAGATTTAAGTCAAAAAAGTTCTTTCTGTGGGAGACTAAACAGGCTATTTCAATGGCTCTTACTCTCAAAAGAATCTTCAGAGCAGATGAACCTGTCCTTTTTACAAGGACCAGGAACTCGGCTATTAAGGGCACTCATGAAGTTGCTTTTTGTTAAGTTGCTACTTCTTATGATCTATTTGATCTGTGATAAGCTTTCATCTAACACATCACCCTCAGAAATACCCATCACCTTATTCAGGACTTTTTCTTATCAAGAATTTAGCTGTCAATCCAGTTTCTACCTCTTGGAAAAGCAAAACAAAATAGTTAAGAAGAAATCATCCCTGCTGCTAAAAGATTTACCTCTGCCTGGTAATGTAAGAAAACGGAAATGACTCGGCAGTCAGTGAAGGTAATCTCTCATAGGCAGTCCTTCAAGCTACTCTGTTAATGAAGCTACTAACTGCATATTTGTGTTCCTTATTCCTCTCATCTAAGCAGTCTCTTGATAACACTATATTTGAAATGATGGTTAGATACGTAGGATTGCCTCTTACAGTCAATTTTCTAAGAAAGTGACTTATCAGTGGCTTAGTACGAACTACTTACCCAGTGCCCTAAAGGAAATTAGATAAAAAGAAGCTGGGAGACCCCAGATGCAGTATTCTGAATTCTGCTGATGTTTAAGCTACAATTTACTGAAAACCTTATGATTAGACATTAACAGTGAGCATCAATCCAGTAAAATATCCAAGAAAAATTTTCTCAGCTGTCAGAAAACAAACAGTAGAAAGTAAAGAAAGTATGTGGTACTCACCTCCTTGTGCAACACATGGGTACATGCCATTGGATGCAGCTCACTGGGCTGGACAAGTTTCTGGCACATCAGACACAGCTTACAGGTAGCCGGAGCCTGCAGGACAGAGATTGCATGCCACAAAGTAAAGAATCTTTGGATCACCTTTCCTTTTATGCCCATGATTTGATGCCAAAAGAAATAAAAGTACAAATACAGATCTTGCTTCAAGTATTCCCATGTTCCCAGTAGACTATAAACAAAACAGCTGACAAGATGTTGGTTTCCTCCTACACTCCACCCATAAATCCACCCACTTCTTACCCTCAGCTTCTCTATATCCAAGTGTTAAAAGAAAAAGAGTCTCACATGTGAAGACCTTCCAGGATATGAAACTTGGGCAGAAGGCAAGAACATTGGGGTACTGATTTGGGCCAGCGGAGCAGGGTACAAGGCCCGGATCCGACCAAGTGGCTGTGGGTAGAAATAATTTCAGGGTAAGGAAGAGTGATTAACAGTACATATAGCAAAAAAGAAATCATTTACTTCCAAGTTCAGCAAAGCAAGAAAACAGACAAGATACTCTGGCTGTAATGCTTCTTCCCACCCAGAATCTTTAAAGTCTGTCTCTTCTCCAACCTCTCAGGAGGCCTCAGCTCTTTCCAGGCAGCTTTTCTCACCTGAGTACTTGCTGCCACCCTCTCATGTTCGGCCAGTCGTGCAGCTACCAACTGGATCAGTTCCTCCATGGTCAAGCCTGCCATGGTGGTACGTGCTGTCTTGATTTGCTGAAGAATGTTGGTCATCTGGGCCCTAAGAAAGACAAATGTTGAAGGAGAGGGAGAGAGATTCTATGCTACACCCCTGAAACCTCCCCTATTACAAACCATAAGCATTTCTCTGACAAAGATGTTTTAACTAATCCTTTAAGATACTTACTTATTGCACTGTGGGAACCGAGTCAGCAGCTTCTCCAAGATCTTCTCCAGTTTGTCTACTGGTTGGGGCCGGGGAGTTTCAGTAGAAGCCTTAACACCGCCCAAGCCTGGGGGAGGCGGGATGGAGGCGGCAGGGGGCATGTGTGGACCATGAGGGCCAACAAGGGAACCCAAGCCAGGGCTATTTCTCCCATGGGAGCCAGGAAGGGGTGGGGAAGGCTGGTTAGACTGGGAAAGGGTGGGGTTCAGGATTGGGAAAGACAAGGAACGGGGATCTGCACTGGGCATAACCATGGGCATTGTGACCTGCCCAATGGAGAAGGGCATCCGAGGAGCCAGAGAGGGACTGGGTTGAAATACTTGAAGCATGAAGTCTGTCTGCAAATGGGAAGATGCAAAGGACAAGAGAATGGAAGAAAGTTTAGGAAACTGAAATAGAAATCAATGAACAACCCTTACACTAAATAGGGATGGTCCCAATATCTTCATAAAAAGAAGCAGAAGACTCTGACTCTGCCACCAACACAGAAATGTAGACCCCTTCAAAGATTCTCTTACCTCTGATGGGGGTGGAGGCAAAGTTGGGGTAGGGATTTGAGGAAGGCTGCTCAGCTTGGCTCCATTCCTCACTAGCTGGATATGACTGTTAAACTGGTCCTAGATGAAAGGAGAAGAAAACATCATACTTTACTTCGGAGATGAGTGAGTCTCTGCAAAAAGCACACCTTTAATTAACAGGAAAACAGGAAGTGGTGAGACAGGCCCCAGTGGCTACACAAAAAAGGCTACCTCCTGGGCCAGGAATGTAGTTTGGTTGGTAGAGTGCCTGCATAGCATGCACAAGGCCCTCGGCTCAATCCCCAGCACAAAAAAAAAAAAAAAAAAAAAAAACTCCCTACTACCAGAAGTATTTGAAACATAAATTAACGCTGATCAAATGATCGCCCACTACCACTTACCCGAACATTCTTTTTCATTATCCGAACTCCATTTAGTCTAGTTTCCCACTCCTGCTTGGAACGAACTGTCTCCAGTGTTGGGGGAGTTGATCTTTCAAGAAACAAGAGGAATTTACAGAATCAAATTTTAAATCTCCAAGATAGAAAAATAGTAGTTGGGTAATGAACCTTGAGAGAAAGGTATGAGAGAAGGTATGAGAGCCTGAAAATCTAACTCCATCAAATTTTAAGCCAAAGATTTGGAAAAGAGGATCAACCACAAAGGGGATTCTTGTCTACCTTAAAATGTCACAAGAGGCATCCAAATTCCATGGCATAAAGAAGAGAAATGACCATATAAGAAATAAATCTCCTAAGACCTTTGTTATGCTTTGACAGCTTAATAGATTCTATTTATTCAAATGGAAACAATGAAATAAAAAGTACAAAGCTATGAAACTRTAGAGGGAAGAATTTAAACAGTGCAGGAGTTTAGAATACAGGAGAGAAATCACTGATTAATTACTACTGCACTGAGATGGCTTCACATCCCTGTGAAGAAAGAATAAGTGCCAGATTTGCTGGCTTAGAGTTTTAAAAAACTAAAACAAACAAACTACAGAGCCACTAAACCTTAGAATGGGAAGGTACTTACTTGAGGTAAGTAAGGTGCAGTTCTGCTTCTTTTTCTGCTTCTTCTAATTTCAATACGAGCAACTCTTTCCGGCTTTCTAATGATAAGATCTAAAGAAATCACACATGCACACATATACATACACTTCATTAATTTTTCATACAAAAATACCCCTAGATAGTTAAAACAAGCGCCCACTGGCTCTTCTGATATTATACCAAAAGTATGTACCATCTGAAAGACCAAAACCAAGGCTTTCAAGATATTAGCCCCTCTCACCTCTGCCTTCCAGGCCCGCTCTGTCTCTTCCATAATGTTCCGATTTATTTCACCATCCTGATTCTTGAGTCTATCCAGTTCCATTTCCCATACCTCTCTGTAAGATAAGAAATCAAGAACAAGACTGAGGGAGAAAAGATTAGTTTGCCACCAAGGCAAAAGGAAAACCCAACAGTGGTCTGCCAGGTATGCTACAGAGCATTTCACACTTAATATTCATTATAGATATGGACAAATGGTGTACAGAAAGGTCTGCAATTGCATAAAGGTCCTATATTTGGAAATAAATATATTCACATCTTCACTTGCTAAAAAAAAAAATTTCCTTGAGCAGGAAAGAATACCTCTTAGATCCAAAACCCTCCACTAAAGGCAGGACATTCTGTGTTCAAGGAGGCTTAAAATCTTTATAGCATTCCTCTTATTTCCCAATTTGTTTTTTACATGAAGGATGTAGAACCAAACATATCATCTGAAGCACAGCAATCAAACACATCAATACTGACTTACTGACTTCTGCATTTTCTTAGCTATAATAAACATTCTTCCAAAGAAAAATATGTTCTCTTTGTATCTCAGGACTTTTCATTTTCATCCATATCCTCCTACCCCAATTCCCATCCCCAGAGTGTAATATTCACCTTTAGGATTAGAATGATCAACTGTTTCAGTTTATCCAGTACTGCAGGATTTCCTAGGATGTGGGACTTTCTGTGTTAAAACTAAGGCAGTGATTACTCAGAAGTGAAGAGCCCATCATGGAACAGAGCCAGCAAAAGAATTTCCTTCTATTACACTGTATTGTGGTAAGTTTTACAGCGGAAAGCATGGATTACCCAGGTTAACAAATAGAATGATACAAAATGTTTAACTTATTTTCACTGGATTTTAAAAAGATGAAAAAAAAAAAAAAAAAGGACAGCTTGAGAAGAGTTACATCTAAAGAGAAATGTTTACAACTTCTTTTTTTTTAATATTTATTTTTTTTTAGTTGTAGTTGAACAAAATACCTTTATTTTATTTATTTATTTTTATTTGGTGCTGAGGATCAAACCCAGGGCCTTGCACGTGAGAGGTGAGCTCTCTACCGCTGAACACAACCCCAGCCCTTACCACTTTTCTTTAGTGACAGAAACAAATTGATCCCCTCTCATTTTTTAGTAACTTTACATAATTAAAAGGGAGCAATTAACTTTCTGAGGTCCCTTCTCACATATTCTTGCTTTTGACCCAACTTACCACACATTCTGTTCTCTATAGAATTCTTCCTCTGCTGGAAAGTTAATTTTGGGATACTACATGGAGAATAAGAGAGAAATGTTCACTTAACTCATATCTGTTATAAAGATGAATAGGCCTTGTCTGCTGAGAGTAGACTTAATGTAAAAGTGAATAAGTGAGTGAATGTGTGTGTAAAGCATACATATGCACATACAAATATGTCCCAGTATCTATGAAATAGAGAATAYTTTGTATCATTCTATTTGTTAACCTGGGTAATCCATGCKTTCCGCTGTAAAACTTACCACAAAACAGTGTAATAGAAGGAAATTCTTTTGCTAGCTCTGTTCCATGATGGGCTCTTCACTTCTGAGTAATCACTGCCTTAGTTTTAGCACAGAAAGTCCCACATCCTAGGAAATCCTGCAGTACTGGATAAACTGAAACAGTTGATCATTCTAATCCTAAARGTGAATATTACACTCTGGGTTTCATATATATGAAAAATCCTCATAGACTGATGGAGACAATACACATATTTACACACACAAAAATCTTTTCCTTTGAGTATTTGGCCACATTTACTTCACTGGAATCCAACAAGACAAAGGGAACTACTAAAAACCACAACAAAAATACTTAAGGGGTTCTTGAATATAGTTACAAAAATACTCAGCCTTATCAATATGCTGACTACCCTATAACATAAGCACCAGATTTCACTTCATTAAAGTATACTAGCTGCAACCCATCATAACAAATAAATCATTCCCCATAGTAGACAGTTTGAAAAAAATTCTTTAGAGAACAGAAACCACTGGTTATGTTTAACTTTTTAAATTCTTGATCTAATTTCTTTCAAGTCCCATACTTCTGTTATTTTGCAGTTAGTTTAAGGTACAAATGGTTCAAATGAATAAATTCATTATTATTCATCAGACGTGTACTATTCATCAGACTGTATAATCCTGGCTTATTATAGTTTCCAATATGCTTGCATAAATTTAAAAATTAACTTTGATCTTGATCATGTAAGCCAGGCAAATTATTAAAAGTTTAGACAATATAAAACAGAAAAGGGACACTTCACAGAAGAAACACAATCGACCAACAAACGTATGAATAAGTGTTCAACATCTCTAGCAATTAGAGAAATGCAAATCAAGATTTCATCTCACTCCTGTCAAAATGGCAATCATCAAGAATGTAGGCAACAATAAACATTGGCGAGGATGTTGGGGAAAAGGTACACTCACACATTGCTGGTGGGACTGCAAATTGGTACAACCACTATGGAAAGCAGTATGAAGATACCTCAGAAAACTTGGAATGTAACACCATTTGACCCAGCTCTCCCACTCCTTGGTTTATACCCAAAGGACTTAAAATCAGCATACTACAGTAATGCAGCCATGTCAATGTTTACAGCAGCTCAATTCACAACAGCTAAACTATGGAACCAACCTAGGTGTCCATTAATAGATRAATGGATAAAAAAAAATGTGATCTCATATATATAATGGAATATATCAGCTTTAATGAAGAATGAAGTGAGATTATGGCATTTGCCAGTAAATGGATGGAGTTGGAGAAYGTCACTCTGTGCGAAATAAACCAATCCCAAAAAACAAAGGCCAAATGTTTTCCCTAATACAGATGCTAAATCACAATAAGGTGGGGCGGGGCAGGGGGCACTAGAGAAAATAGCATTATCTTAGATTAGGTAAAGGGAAAGGAAAGGTGGGAAGGGGAGGAGATATGGGGATAGGAAGGATAACAGAAAGAAACACACATTATTAGTTTATGTATATATGCGACTGCATGACCAATGTGATTCAACAACATGTACACTCAGAAAAATGAGAAATTATATCCCATAAGTGAATAAATGCCTTCTACTGTCATGTATAACTAATTAAAACAAATAAAAAAATTAAAAAAAAATAAACAGAAAAAATCTAATGTAGTGTTCTCAGCATTTTTACATACTGGTTGCATCACCTTAAACAAGTTACTTAATCTTTCTAGGTCTCAGTTTCTTCATCTGAAAGATGAAGAGTACCTACATCATAGGATTAATGAGTTAACTGAGAAAACACACATAAAGAATTTAATAGGATGCCCAGCACATGGCAAGTAGCCCACAAACGTTATTGTTTTTTAAAAACTCAATTTCTCACAATCATACTACTCATAAAGAATCACTATTATACTTCTTTCCAGACTTTGAAAACAAACATTTGCATACTCGTTTATGTATATGTAACATATGCACATAATATTTATTTATTTGTTCTAATCAGTTATACATGACAGTAGAATGTTCTTCAATTCATTGTACACAAACAGAGCACAATTTTTCACATCTCTTGTGATACACAAAGTAGGGTCACACCATTTGTGCAATCATACATGTACCTAGGGTAAAGATGTCTGTCTCATTCCACCATCTTTCCTACTCCCTTTGCCTCAAAGTTCCTCCACTCATGCCATTCCCCTCCCCCACCCATTAGGAATTAGCATCCACTTATCAGAGAAAACATTTGGCCTTTGGTTTTTTGGGGATTGGCTAACTTCACTTAGCATGATATTCTTTAACTCCATCCATTTACCCACAAATGCCATAATTTTATTTCTTTTATTACTGAATAATATTCCATTGTGTATTTTATTTTCAACATCTTACTTTTCTATATTAATAAGTATTTTTCATAAATGTGGGGTTTTTTGGAGGGTGGTGGTACTAGGGATTGAACCCAGGGCTACTTACGAACTGAGTCACATCCCCAGCCCTTTATCTTTTTTATTTTGAGACAGGATCTCACTAAGTTGCTTAAGGCCTTCCTAAATTGTTGAGGCTGGCCCTGAACTTGCTATCCTTCTGCCTCAGCCTCCCAAGTCACTGGGATTATAGGTATGAACCACCAAGTCCAGTCATAAATGTGATTTTTAATGACTGTTTAACATACAGATCTACCTTTTTCTTTCTTTTTCTTTTTTTTTTTTTGTGTGTGTGTGTATGTGTGGTACTGGAGATTGAACCCAAGGTACTCTACCACTGAGCTATCTCCCCAGTTCCTCTTATCTTTTATCTTGAGACAGGGTCTTGTTAAGTTGCCCAGCCTGACCTCAAACTTAAAATCCTCCCATCTCAGCCTCCCAAATATCTGGCATTACAGGTATGTACCACCATATCTGGCCCTTAAGTAATTTTCAATTTCACAATTATAAATAAAGCTGTGATCATAATGAGCATTTAGGCATGTGCCATTAACATAAGCTAATGAAAAAAGTGACATTTAAATTTGAGGGATGCTGGGGCTGGGGTTGTGGCTCAGCGGCAGAGTGCTCACCTAGCATGTACGAGGCCCTGGGTTCGATCCTCAGCACCACATAAAAATAAATAAACAAAATAAAGGTATTGTCTCCAACTACAATTTAAAAATAAATATTTAAAAATAAATAAATAAATAAATAAATAAATTTGAGAGATGCTAAGCTAGGTAAAGAGCACAGCCTCTGGAACCAAACAAATCCCTGCCCTATTACTCTGTGCAACCTTTACCAAGTAAGGCTTTCTATACCTCATTTTCCTGAAGTATAAAATGAGAGAGAATAAAACAGTCTACAATTTACTGAACTGTGACACAGATTAAATGAGTTAATATAACACCTATCTTCAGCCAGGCATGGTGTCATGCACCTGTAATCCCAGTGGTTTGGGAGGCTGAGGCAGGAGAATAGCAAATAAGAGACCAGTCTCAGCAATTTATCAAGGCCCTAAGCCACTCAGTGAGATCCTGTTTCAAAAAATAAAGGGACTAGGGATGTGGCTCAGTGGTAAAGAACCCCTGGGTTCAATCTCCAGTATCAAAA